CCGCCTGCTGCCGCTGCTGAGGCATCAAGGCAGGAAGCTCCTGGAGGTCCTGCAGCAGGCACTGGAGCAGCAAGTGATTTGTATACTGCTGCTCCTTCCACATCTGCACGAACGACAGCTGGAGGAGAAGCGAGCATGAAGGGTCCGACAGTTTCTAGTTTGGACACTCGTGGGAGTTCCGAAGATGCTGGAGCAGCAGCTGCTGGAACAGCAGTAACGGCAGCAGCACCTTCCGCCACACCCGCATCTGGGTCAACGGCGCCAGGCGATACTTCTAGAGGGGCGCCTAAGTCTGCTTCTGATAGTATAAGGGACCACCCCTTTGCGCGCCTGCCACAGCGAATAGTTAGGACGACGCCGGCTGAGCTTTTGATTAACTTGAGGCGCGGCGTGACAGCTTGGCCTGGCAGACGGGACCTCATGCCGCTATTGGTGGAGGCCCGTGAGCTGCTGTCAAAGCAGTTCCTGTATTTTGATGACATGGAGAAGTTGGCGCATGTAGCAGAGGCTCTTATAGAACATGGGACGAACCATCAGCGTCAAGACCTCTCGGAACACTCGCCCACCCGAGCAGTTGAGCGGTTGGGGATGCGTTTTCTCCTGATGGATGCTGTGGTCTCTGCCTTTATAGTTCTCGGGCAGAAACCGGACGAGAAGTTGTGGAAGTCCTTCACAGATGCCATCAACCACAAACCTCCCTTGGGGCATTTCTACGGGATGCTAGGAGGGCGAGAGACTTGGGCCTCTCAGGCGCTGCAGCTCAGCAGGGCAATAGAAACACTGAAGACGGGGAAGAGGCCGAAGGCAGCAGACCTCGTGCACCTCAAGAGGATGCTCATCTGCTCGCCCTCCTCTCATCCGCGTTTCAAAAAGCCGGATTTCAATCCCTGGAGGCAGGATAACTCCGAAGGCGCCGATGGAGAATAGCGTTTCTCATGAAGAGCGCCGGTACCGTGCACATTTTAGTAAAGGGGGAGGGAAAACACGCATCTGCATTCTGAGGGGAAACCCGTTTT